AAATATATCATTACTTGGCATGAGTTTTTTGCGAGTTGTACCTCCTTATCCAAATAGAATGATCGGCTCGTGACATTTCAACCATGTTTTTCACCTTTGGTTTCCTTCTGTAAATGGTTAGAGACCATCTACATCCATTCTAACCTTGTTTTATGAAAAAAGTTTCTACAAAATAGAAATAGGATAAAAAAATGAAGGCAATGTATCTATTCAGGATGCTCATGATCTCCACTTATACGCGGCAAATGAAACATTCTTTTGCAATAGAAAACAAATAGAGTATTTCACAAGGTTAACATGATACTTAAATAAAATTAAGGCTCAGTTTGGAAAGAGTATAAATACAAATATACATATAAAATAATATAAAATATAAGATTTTTTTGTACTCTACAAATTTGTATTTGTACTCCTTTGAAACTGAGCCTAAAGTTTTTTAACATAACACTAAAAGTTTTTTTTTTTTTAAGCTTATTGGTAAAATTCATCTAACAGAACTCTAAAAACTAACATGAAAGTCTTCTAAAACCCCAAAAAATTAATGTGTACTGGTTTCTCCTTCTGAGAATAAAGCAACATAGATTTTCCCTATTGCAAAAATTTGGGTTGTCTAGGTAGGTCACCTAGGGGGGGGGGTTAAATTGGGTGTTTTTTTTTTTTTTTTTTGAATGGTGTTGAATTACTAAAACTTTTCCTTGCCATTTTTTTTCTAATAGTGATATGCACTATGAAAAAAATGTACACTATGAATGTAGTGGATTTTAAAATTAATGCTTAAGGTAAGGCTGTAACTTGGCCCAGGTTGGCCCAAACCCAACCCAAAAAAGTCAGCTTGGGTTGGGTCAGGTTGATACTTGGGTTAGGGTTAGAGCTGAAATTTATGAATCCGACTTTACTTTGGGTTGGGTTAGGGGTGATCCCTCAAGTAACCCGACTTTGTAGTACATTTCATGTATAAATATATGTTATATATATAATACATCATACATTGATTTGTTTAGATGCATGATAGTTGTATAGCCCCCACCAAATACTATCATTTATTTCTTTTAAGATAACCACTTCACTTAGTCTTAATTGAAAATATTAAAATCTTAATAACATATTTTATGTTTTTTGAATATTTTATTCTTTATCGGTCTCTCTACTGTTTGCCACCCATAGATTATTGCCCATACAAAATTTATTATAAGTTATAACTCATAATAAACTATAGTCATTTCAAACACTTTTTTTTTTTTTATTTTATACTTAAAGAATCAATAAAAACATTAACAAATAAATACTAATAAAACATGTGAAAATTGAGTTAGAATTTAAGATTAAAGAAGTTCTACAAAAACAGCTCTCTCTCCTCCACCCCTAGAAGGCTGAAGGGTAAAGTTGCAATCGTGACTGGAGGTGCGAGAGGGATTAGAGAAAAGACGGTGAAGATGAGTTGGGAATTGTTCTTGCTAGCTCCTTAGCCCATTAGCCTAGAAGAAGAATAGAAGATGTTGAGAAGTTGCTAAGTTCCATGGTTTCATGACACGGCCATCTTGACATCCTTATCAACAATGTTGGGATACTGGAGAATCAATCCAAGCATAAAAGCATAATCAACTTTGATGCAGATGAATTTGATCTCATTTGGGCACTTCACCAACAATACTCGCCATTAATTATTGCTATAGATTTGGGCGATTGGATGGGGCGTCGATCTGCTGAAGATACTCGAGGAGAATCCGAGGATTCCATTAGCCCTAATTCTGTTTCAAGTTTCAATTCCATCGTCAGTTTGAAAGCATAATTCAGATCAAGGTTTTTAAAACCGATTTGGAGAGCGAGTCAGTCAGGGGTTTGGTTCCTGGGTCAAATGGTTTAATTGTTCAAACCAAGTGGTCATTTCATTCTGGCAAAAAAATTAAAAAAAAATAAAAAACAATCAAAACCGTTGAATAGTTCGAACAATTCAACTGTTCGGATTAGTGGTTTATTGACCAAATCAATATTTTTTTGCAAATATCCGGTTTTGAGGAAAAACGGAATCAGTCACCTAACTGGTTCCCAATTTTCCGGTTCGACCATCCGGTCTGATCCGTTTTGAAAACCATGATTCAGATAAAGAATTATATGCTCGAAAAATCAAAGCTCCCCTCTTCTGTAAATTTCCTGTGGCTGCTCATCTCTTACAAACTCTTTTTGGTTACCGGTATCTGATCTGAGCAAGGAATCATCCTGTGTTATCATCTTCCTAMTCCTGTTTTTCATCGTTTTATTATAGTGCTTTGTTTTGCTTGCTTGCCTATTTATGTAGTGGATTGATGTTCCATTTTATTCTGGCAGAACTGATGTATAGTTCTAGTAAGTGGGCGTAATAGTTGAGTACTTTTCAACTTGGAGTAAGAGTCTTGCTGACTGGCGGCGATTCTTATCTGACTTATGAAAGATGGAGAGAGGGTATTATTGGATTTTAAAAAAATTTTATATATCGCGTGATATCACATGTGTACAGATTTTGACGAAATATTAGAGATGCTAACGGGTAGAGTTAGTCAATTGTCAGAAAACTTAGGGAGTATTATAAGATAATATGCAAACATTAAGGGTAGAGTTAATCAATTAACTAAACAATAGGGATAATTTAAAAAATTTACCCTTTATTATAATACCCAAAACACTATTCATCTTCTTCTCCAAATGCGACAAAGACAACTTAACCGTCCATCCCTCCCTTTCTCTTTTCTATCTTTCTTCTCTAATCACTTTGTCCTCCTTACTATGTCAAATATTCCTCGTCTGTCACAGACCCATTGCCGTTTCTTCTAAACGGCCATGGGTATGATATAATGATAACGTATTTGTCCCTGTGATTGGTATGATATAGTGATTATGTACTTGTTCCCTTTTTTTTGGTATGATATAAAATTTTCATGGCTCGATGGAAATATATACAAATATTCAGCACTAGCTTTCTCTAAAACATTTCCATCAAATCTTTTACAAAACCCTATTTTTAAAATTTTTATCATCTTACAATGTTTGTGTCTTGGCTTGAATCTAGATTTCAGAATAGAGTAAGCCATGAATTTTTGTAGAAAAGATAGTATTTGCCTCCTTAAATCCTGTAGTTGTGGCCTGGTAGAAACTGAAGTTCTTACACACCTTTTTCTCTGTTGTCAGTAAGTATGACAATATGAGAGGTGAGAAAGAGACTAATTGCTCAAATATCTATTCGTAATCTCTGCAATTCTAGATTTTTTTTTTCGCATTTATCCTGCTTTTGAAGTGACAAGTGTTCGACGACTAAACCTCCAAAACTTCAACCTTGGAGGGATTGCATGCTCTCCCTCTATGGTAGAGTCTCAAGTTGCTCATTGCTTTTACATGAAGTTTCAAGTCTTGGGTTTTAGAAATGGCAACTGCAGAGAAGTTGCACTCTCATGTTGATTTAAAAGAAAGAGGTCATCGTCATTCTGTCGTTGCAAGCGACGCAGGGGTGAGGGAAGCATCTGCTTCTCTAAAGCTAACGATAAATTGTGGCATTCCCAGTTCCTATGGATTGTATGAAGAGAATAGGTTCTCTGGTGTGTCTGATATTGAGATTTGGGGGATTTTGGCCCACTATTAGAATTTTTTGGCATCGGATTGTTTGATTGAGATAGATTTAGGGTCTATTCGTTTCCTCTTAACTCTTATCTCTTAACCTTTTAACTTTAAAAGAAAAATGGTTGTTCGTTTCGTCTTATCTCTTATCTCTTAAAGTGCAATTATACAACTTTTTGTTTTCCAATGATAGCTCTCAAAAGACAAACAAAAACTCTCATATATGAGGTAAAAAATGTATATTTCATAATTTTCAGAATTCAGAATTCAAAGTAACATTATCTACATTCAGAATTCAGAGGAAAGAAAAGTCACTAATACCAATATACCTCTTAATGTAATTATTGCACTTTCAAATACTAGACTTCAAAACAAAAGAACATGCCCTTAGAAAATAGGGTACCAGAAATTAAGGTGCATTTGACTAAAGTCAACTAATCAGGAATTTGGGATTGGAAGGACGATATGGCTACTACTCACAAGCAATGCATTAAAGCTCGATTCAAGATAAGGGGAAACAAGTAAAAACTCAAAATAAAGGGAAACAAATAAAAACTCAAGAGAGGAGCTGAAAAGACCGGGATGACCAATTAAGTTGTTTTTGCCACCTCGAGTTCGTAGTTCTTGGAGAAGAAGATGAGTAGTGTTTTGGGGGTTTAATAAGGGGTTTTTATAGTTCAATCCACCCCTAGGGTGGATATAGGATTTCTAGGGATGGACTGAATCCTATCCATTGATTGATGCCAAATTCATGGGCATGATGTGGTTTATAGGGGGGACTACTAGTAGATTAGGAGGGGCTGCAATTTCAGATTTCTGAGGTGGATTGCAGTCCACTTATCCATTTTAATAAATCTATACCTGAATTAATAGATAGAAAGGTAAAACAGGTATATGAACATCTCCCAATGATGGCATTATCGGTTCTGATACCATCATCAGGAGGTGTTCCCAATACACGATGGGGATGGGCTGTGGGGCGGAGATGTGAACTCTAACTTTCTCTATGAATAATAGAACAATGACGGAAGGGAGGTAAACGGATGATTTTTTAAAACTACAGGGAAAGATTTTGTTAAGRTGAAAATATAGGGGAGGATTTTATGATTATCAGGAAACTTATGGAAAGTTTTTATAATTATATATTTTGCCCTTTCATTTTTATTTGTACACGTGCCCCTTTATATTAATAGCGCCATGTAAGCGTAGTTTTTGTTGGATGAGACATTTCGACTTAATTACTTTTACAGTTTCCCAGCATCAGGTAGGAATGTTGCCCGACAAATCGGTTGAGGTACCAAACATGCCCTACGACTATCAACGGTCACCCGATATTGCTTCGTGTCCTTCGTCTTTCCGAGCAAAAGGCTAAAAGCACAAAAAGGATCGAAGAAGAACTGCCTGACCCAGACGCTATGTCGTCGAGGAGCCTCCCTGCAGACGTCATCTTCGATATTCTCTGTAAACTTCCCGTAAAATCACTGCTGCGATTTAAGTGCGTCTGCAAATCATGGCTCGCCCTAATCAGCGACCCTCTATTCATTAAACAACATCTGAATCGAGTGCTAGAAAACATCACTATCCCCAACGACGACGGCGGGTCCTCCAATTTCATCGTCATCTCTGCCGGCATTGTCTTTCACGTAGATAATGGTTCTGAGACAGAAACGAATGATGGGTCGTCGAGAAAACTGGATTTGCCGTTTCAGAATTCTATCAGAAGTCCATGGGTAGCGGGTTCCTGTAATGGGTTGGTGTGCTTGGCCGACGAGAGACTCGATGACACACCAGAAGACTTGTTTGTATGGAACCCATCTACCGGAGATTACGTGAAGTTGCCGGAAACCCCTTTTGAACGTCCTCCCTCCTCCCACTTATTAATGACGGATATTTCTGCGTTCGGCTACATCTCCGCCCTCGACGAATACAAGGTGGTAAAAGTTATTGATGCTTTTGATGTTTCCAGAAGTCCTGGCGTCAATCGGTCCACAGTTCTGGTGCACACGCTGGGCACTGATTCATGGAGAAAGATTGGGGAAGACGTCTCTTTCCAAATTGACTGTCGTTCCGGTGGACTGCTCTTGCATGGAGGTATTCATTGGCCGGCGGCTCGCTTCTTTCAGGTGGGTGTCTTGATGCTCATTGTTTGTTTCGATCTTGAGGACGAGGTGTTCTGGGAGGTCCCATCGCCCGACATGGGAGAGGTTGATAAGGATTGGATTAAATTGGGGGTGTTGAGAGGATGCCTTTGTGCATTTCTTTCTGTTCATGGAGAAAGGATTGACATTTGGGTAATGGAAGATTACGGGGCAAAAGAGTCTTGGATTAGACAGTTTTCCTTCCAGTGGCGAGCAATAGCTAGGGGTTTTGAGTCGTATGATCCGGCGTGGTTTGTGAGGGATGGGGAGATTTTTCTCAAGAATGCTTCTGGGGAGGTGGTTTTGTATCATCCAATACGCAACAGGGTTCTTCGCCTTCCAAATGCTCGGGATCGGGAATTTAGGGAAGGGGAATTTAAAAGAATACTTGGTTATGTTCAGACCCTCGTCTCGCCGCTTTCTCTCAAGGCTAACAGTGGAGTGAGTAGGCAACTTAAGAGAGAAAAGGAAAGAAGGAAGTTCAGGTGAAAGAAAATTTTCTTTTTCCTTATTTCATTAATTCCTATGTTTTTGCGCAGGCTCTACTTAAATGTGGTTTCAAACCTCGGTGATAATCTGGGATCTGTGCTAACAAGGGTTTGGGTATCTGGTTATTTGAATGAAGCCATCTAGGACCTGGTGTTGATTCCATAAGCATTCTATATATAGAAATGATGATTGCACCACCTTACAAAAAACTATTTTCCCTATCTCAACCAATTCCACCTATTTGAAATTGTTCCAATTTCAATGCTCCTCTCCATGAGCGCTAAGTCATTTTGTTTATAGTTTGGTACTTTGATTGTTTTTTCTTGTTGGATTTTCCCCTCTGGAGGCAAAATTGATCTTATAAGATTAGATAATATTTTTTTTTCTTCTTATATTCTATGGAATTTAAGAATGGTTTTGATTTTGTTTTATTTGATAATTGTGAGATTTTATTTAAAATGAGGTAAGATGCAACAGGCATTAAACCAAGTGCAAAACTGGCAAAAAGATAAAAAGACACAAAATGAGCCGATAGAACAAACATATTGACTGTCTATAGGTTTTAAATAGGGTCATTTACTAAAATACCCCTTATAATTTTATGAATTTACTAAAAATCTATCATATAGTTTGTGATTTATTAAAACATCCCTAAATTTTGCAATTGATTTACTTAATTGACTTTTCATTAGATAAAAATGAAAAATAACAATTTTAATACTAGCATCTAGACCTGTTCACGGGCCGGGCTTCAAGCCCAATTTTACATTGTTTCGCGGTCAGATTTTGGGCTGAGCCCATTAAAAACAAAAATGTCATTTTTGCCTTTAATAAAACATGGACAACCATTCTATTTTTTTCTCTATTTGGTCAATTTTAATTTGTTTTATATACAAAAAAGTGTTTGGAATACTTTTGAAATAAACAACCATAAATCCATACCCTTGAACACTTTGACAATTCAAAGTAGGGGTACTTTTGGAATAAACAATCTATGCCCTTTAGACTTAGTTTTTAATGTAATTATATTACTATTTTCATATGGTAAAACAAATAAACAAATAGTTCTTAAAGAAAGGTCCATTAAGTAAATAGATTGCAAACTGTAAGGGTGCTTTAATAAAAAATACGATGGATGGAGAAGGCGGTACACGAAGGAGCTGGGGACTTCGTGAGGTCGAAAGATGGAGAAGATTAATCAAGGTAGAGTCAAAGAACTACTGATGGAAGAGGTCTTTCACCGAAAAGAGATAGCAGTGAAGTTCAGGGAAGGCTAAAAAAGAGAGAACAATGAAGTTCAGGGAAGGTAGAAAAGGAACAATTTACCTTGTAGGGTCAGCGGTCGCTTGGTTTCAATGTTTTCTCGATGGAGCAGCTAATGTAAGTTGGTTAGCAGAATGGAAAGATACATACCTTGAGACTATCTAACGAAACTTACATGGCAAAAACTCAAAAGGATGGTTCGTAACACTGGAAGAGAGATTTGAGAAAGGAAGAAGATAAATAATTATTATACCAGAAGGTAAAAACCTAGAAGGGTGAATTGGGATAGGCCATGAATTGTATCAAATGGTAACCAAGATTTGGACGATAGAAAAGAATGAAGGAAAATAGGGTGGTGCCGAAGGAGGAAATGAAGGAGAGAAGGAAGAGAATAGAAAAGTTGGGGCTAGATGAAGGGTTAGATGATGCAAAGATTGTATCGGTGGCTCTCTCAACTACGGTACCCAACATACTGATAGAAGGGAAAAGTGAATATTAGAAGGAAAAGGTAGTGCTTAGTGTGAAAAACAGGGTAAAGGACTGGGAGAAGTTTCAAACAAATTGGGACTGAAGCAGACAGCCATTCTCATGCTGTTTGAAGAGAATAAGGCGGTGTTGGATGTGGGCTTTGAGGAAGTAGAATTTACTACCATTGAAACTTGGGAGGGCACTGTAATGATCGAAAATTGGTGTAGAATTTCAATGACGGAAGCTTCTGGCTGAAACTGATAGGGTTACCATTTAACCTTTAGCGTAAACCTCTGCTGGAAAAGATAATAGTGGCCTTTGGTGGGGCTCTAATCTCCTACAAAAAGCTGAACCTGAAGGCAGTTGAGCTAAGAATCGCAGGGACCAAGCCTGAAGACATCCCTCGTTCTTTCGATCTGCTCACTGAAGGATTGTGGATTAGAGTTTAAGTTGCTTCGGAATTGGAAGCCACGTTATGGAGGGGAAGCTCGAAGGTTGAAGATGAAGATGATGTGATCGGGTGGGTGACATGTGGAAGCAAAAGAGAAGAGGCAAATGTCATAAGTATATAACCAGACAGCTAGAGAGGAATGATGAGGCAGAAGACAAGGCGCCAGGTTCTTGGGTAGACCAGTGTCCAAAAAAGGAAATTACTTCAAATTGTGGGGCAAAAGAAGCGGGTTTTAACTTTAACAAGAAAAGACAAGGTATTTCAAATTCAATTGACCCGTTGGAGCGAAGCGGAAGAAGAGTGGACCAGTTGGTTAGTAGGGAGGTGGGCGAACCAGCACATGCGAGCTTTCGTAGTCACGTGAGCCAATCGACCAAAGAGACGATAGACAAAAGACCTGATCTATCATCTTCTCCAGCTCGATCGAACTCACCCAGAGAGCAAAAAGGGGGCAGCCTGATGTGGAGGATACGACAGAGAAAAGAGAAAGAGGGCCCTAATCTGAGGTTCTCCAGGAAAAGCCAGGAGCAGTTCGACGAAAGTGATTCTGAAGAGAGTAGTTCAGAAGAAGAGTTTGAGTCCCCTAGCTCGGATGAAAATTCCTACGGTGAGAGCGATTAAGACCAAGGCAGAGTCACTGAACAGGTTATTGAAGATCTCAACCTAGAAGCTTTCTTCAACCTCCGACTTGACTGTTCCTCTCCTCAAGTTCAGTCGAGCCTCGAACCTACCCGACTCAAGTTCGATCGGGTAAAATGGACGATCTGCACTCAAGGGAGAAGAACCTAGACCAGATTCAATCACAGACACAGGGGAATTTAGTAATAAAGCAGGAATAAAGTACCAGAACCAGGTCAATCCCAAGTGATTCAGCCGGATTACTCCCTAACAGAAGCACTTGCAGAGTCGAGTTTTGGGGCTGTGGTCAGAGATCCCCCCTCGAGTCCTTCCGCCTTATCCACCCCAGGGGCACAAGGTTTGTCAGGTAACGATGCGAATTTGCTTATGGTTACTAATGATGCTAGTGCTGCCCCTACAGATTCTACAGATGTACACCATGGCTTAAGAGAGACCCATTATATTGAATGTGCCAAGGATGGAGAAGTAGGGCTTGTAGTCTCTAGGGGGATAGAGAGGAAAGTGTAACAGTGGAAAGTATAGAGAAGTCAGCACTGGAAAAAGGGGGAAGTGAAGGTGGAGGGGAGGAAGCAGAGGCGAAAAGCCTAGGAGAAGGCCAATCAGATGAGGAGATCCTGTTACTGAAATTGGCAGAAAGGATGGGATTGAAAATCTCTAAGTTAGTTCCAGCCAAGACCCAAATGAAGATGAAGGTCAATTGGGGTAAAACTGGTAAGAGGAAATCGAGGGTGGTGGAAAAACTAACGAGTGGATGGGGCAAGAGAGTTAAGGAGAGTGAGAGTAGTGGAAATGGAAGGTGAAGAGATTGGGAAGGGTAAAGGGGAGTCAGAGCCAAGGTGAAATGAAGATAGTGAGTTGGAATTTCAGAGGGTTAGGGAGAGCAACAAAAAGAAGGCTTGTAAAGGAATTATTGAGGAGAGAGAAACCGGACATTGTAATGGTACAAGAGTCAAAGGCCCTGAATATTGATAGAAAGTGGGTGAGAAGTATCTAGGGAGGCAAAGGGATTGGCTGGGCTATGGCCCCATCTTGTGGTGCGTCGGGAGGGATAGTCACATTGTGGAAGGAGGAGACAATAGAGTGCATAGAGGACTTAATGGGGAGATTCTCAGTGTCTGTAAACTTGAGGAAGGTAGATGATAGTTGCAAATGGGTGCTCACAAATGTCTACGGACCTAATTCGTATAGGGAAAGAAATGAAATATGGGAAGAGTTGGTAGATGTGAGAGGACTATGACAAGGACCGCGGTGCTTGTGGGGTGACTTCAATGTGGTAAGACATCCTGATGAATCTAACAAGCCGAGACAGAGGATATCCACCAGCATGAGGAGATTCAATAGGTTTATAGAAACCTTTGAGCTAAAGGAGATTGAAAGTGGTCAACAAAGATTCACGTGGACTAATTGTCAAGAAAATCCTTTATTCTCAAAATTGGACAGATTCCTTGTGTATATGGATTGGGAGGAACATTGGAATAATGTGGTAAGCAGAATGTTACCCAGAATCACTTCGGATCATTGGCCGATTTGCATTCAAGAAGGATTAGAGGGAGAGGGGCTGAAGCCATTTAGATTCGAGAACATGTGACTTACAGTTCTAGAGTTTATGCAAAAAAATCAAGGAGTGGTGGGAGGAAGACAACCCCCAAGCTGATTGGGAAGGGATTAGATTCCACAGGAAACTCAGGAATTTAAAAGAAAAAAAATAAAGGAGTGGAATTTGAATATGGGAGATTAGAAGAAAGAAAGGCAAAACTGATAAGCAGAATTGAAGAGATCAATAGAAAGGAGGAGGGAGGGGCTTTAGAGATAGGGGAGAACGAGGAAAGACTAAATTTGAAAGGAGAATTAGAAACTACACTCCTGAGAGAGGAAATAACTTAGAAGCAGAAATCAAGAGTGCAATGGATTAAAGAAGGGGATGGGAACACCAAATTCTTCCACATGATAGCAAATGGGAGAAAAAGAAAGAATCAAATCTCTATGCTAGAACTGGAAAATGGAACTTTAACAAATTAGGACAAGATTGCTAAGGCATTGGTGGATCACTTTAAATCAATTTTTAGAAGGCCTACGTCAGGAAGATAGGAGTTGGAAGGATTGGAGTGGCCAGTTCTATAAGAGGTGGTGAGCAGAAATCTAGAGATATGTTTTGAGGATGTGATGAAGGTTTTTGAGGAATTCTATCATAGAGGGGTTGTTAGCTGAGGTGTTAATGCTACCTTAACAGCACTGATCCCAAAGAAATCTGGAGCTCACCACCCCAAGGACTTTAGGCCAATCAGTTTGATAACAAGCCAATACAAGATCCTAGCCAAGGTTCTCTCCCTAAGGCTAAAAAAGGTCCTACCAGCAATCATCTCTCAGTTCCAAGGGGCTTTCATCCAAGAAAGGCAAATTTCGGATCAAATTATAATAGCTAATGAATGTGTGGAGGATTTCATGAAATCTAGAAAGAAAGGCATTGTACACAAATTGGATTTAGAGAAAGCCAATGACTTTGTGGATTGGGAGTTTTTGTTGGAGGCTCTTAGGAAGTGTGGATTTGGAGCAAGATGGTGTAGGTGGATTAAAGGATGTCTACAGTCCTGTCATTTCTCAGTATTAGTCAATGGAATAGTAAAGGACTTTTTTAACACTAAAAGAGGAGTGAGATAAGGAGACCCTCTATCCCCCTTCCTTTTTACGATCTTAGTAGAGGTGCTTAGCATATTGATCTCGAAGGCAGATGAGATAGGTACTTTAAAGGGCCGAAGAGCAGGAAGGGGGAGTTTGGTGGTAACTCATCTTCAATTTGCAGACGACATCATTGTTTTTTGTGAAATTGGAGATGAGGTGGCTGCAAGGGACCAAAGGTTGGTGGTTAATCTTTTTGAAAAAGTGACAATTCTGAAGGTGAACCTTAACAAGAGTGTGGTAGCTAGGATTAACTTAACCCAAGAAGAGGTCAATGTTTGGGTAGAGGAATTAGGTTGTCTGCGGAGTGAGTGGCCTTTGAAATATCTAGGACTCCCCCCTAGGTGCAAACCCAAAAAATTTAGGATTCTGGGAACCGGTACTAGGGAGGTTTGAAAAGAAGTTGGCAGCATGGAAGAAAAATTATGTTTCTTTGGGGGTAGGATCACTCTTATTAGGGCTACCTTAGCAAATCTCCCAGTTTACTATCTCTTGGTGTTTAGTATGCCTCAAACTATTGGGAAGAAATTAGAGAAGATAATGAGGGCTTTTCTATGGGAATCTAATGAGAAGAGAGATCATCTAATTAGATGGGAAGTAGCGACTAGAAGGAAGGAGTTGAGAGGATTGGGTCTCGGAAGACTGAAGGAGAGGAATGAGGCTTTGTTGGGCAAGTGGTTATGGAGATTCCTAGGTGAGACAGATAGGCTTTGGCACAAAGTGGTAACCAGACATGAGCTCTCAGAGAATGGTTGGGATGCTAGAGTATCTAGTAGGACCTCGGGCTATTCACAATGGAAGGCAATTCACAAACTTCTCCCTTCGTTTCTCAATCATATCAGATTTGATCTCAACTCAGGTAACAAAATCAAATTCTGGGAAGATATTTGGGTGGGGGACTCTTCTTTAAAAACCTTATTCCCTTCAATTTTTTCTCTCTCCTTCCTCAAAGGTAGACCGATTGTTGACTTCCTTGCCCCTTCCCCATCCTTGTCTGGTTTAGCATGGAATCTAGGATTCCGTAGAAACGTGAGGGACTCAGAATTGGGCTCGTCCTCTCTACTCCATCTGCTCGATGGGGTGTTTCTAGACACTAGACTTTGGGTTCCTCATCCTTCAGGAGTTTTCAGTTGTGCCTCCTTTTTCAAGTCCTTGTCTTTTCCTGCACAACCTGGGGTACCCTTCCCTTTACAAGAAGTTTGCTGTCGACCTATCCCCCACAAAGTGGGTGCCTTTTGTTGGGAGGTCTATCATAGTGCAATTAACACTAGTGATCTGATGTAGAGGAAAAGACCTGGTTGGTGCCTTTAACCAAATTGGTGCTGTTTGTGTAAGTCAACTGGTGAGAATGCCTTTCATATTCTTGTCTCCTGTCCTCTTTCTAGTAGTGTTTGGGATTGGTTTTTCTACCTTTTTGGATGCAGGTGGGACACACCGTTGAGCTTGGAAAGATTGTTTGAGCCATCTACTTTTAGATGGCCAAAGCGAAGAGGGAGAATACTGTGGAGATGCACAAGGACAGTAGTGCTATGGGTACTATGGGAGGAAAGAAATTTGAGAATATTTGAAGACAAGGAAAGATGCAAGGAAGAACTAATAGAAAGTATTATGGTGACGGTGACTTCATGGGTGAAAACACTGAATTTTTTCTCAAATTTTACAGTGGATGATATAATAAGGAATTGGAGGACAGTTGCTAGCTCTTCCTTGGCAAAGAAGAAGGTCCTGAAGGATTGGGTGCCCCCTGAACCAGGTTTTATCAAATTAAACTTTGACGGCAGCAGTTTTGGAAACCCAGGAAGATCTGGAATTGGAGGGGTTATAAGAAATGAAAGAGGAGATGTGCCGGGGCTGTTTTCGGGTCCCATTGGAATTGGAAATTCCACTACAGCAGAACTGAAGGCAATGGTATATGGGATACAAAAAGCTAAGGAGATGGGGGTGGAAAAACTGGTTGTGGAAGGGGATTCCAAAGTTATCATCAGTTGGCTAAAACAACAGGACAGCACACCCTGGCTATTCAGAAATGATATCAAGAAGATTAAAAATCTTTCCAAGGACATGCAACTGTCAATTAGGTGGACTCCTAGAGCAGCAAATGGATTTGCAGACCAGCTAGCCAAACAAGGGGTAAACAGGGATCACTGTTTCTGGGCTCAACTGTAAGAGTGAAAAATCAACTTAATAGTGGATGCAGTACATTGTAGTGGGGTAGCTGAGGCTACTCATAAACTGTAACCCCTGTAACTTCTATTTTTCATCGATGAAATTTCTTTTTATTGATAAAAAAGGGGTGTTTTAGTAAAACGCAAACTATAGGGTGGATTTAAGTAAATCTGTGAAACTATTGAGGGTGTTCTAGTAAATGACCCTTTTAACTAATTTGAACTGGCATGGTTTGTGAGGGATGGTGTGATCTTTGTCAGGAATGCTTCTGGAAAGGTGGTTTTGTATCACCGAATGAACAATGGGATTTGTCTTCACAGTGTTCCAGAATTTAATGGAATACTTAGATGTGTTATTTTGGTACGTGCATGCTTAGATGTGTTATTTTGGCATGGTGGGTCCTCATTTAACTGCTTTTGTTAAAGGCTATGGTGAAATTGATGAGCCACCCAAGAGAGTAGAAAAAGGATAGCATAGTTAAAATACAGAATATCTTTCTTTTTC